AGAAATCTATCTGGTGAAATGTTACAGCTTAATTCCCATTTTCATCATGCTTTTGTCTTATTCAAAGTCTCTCCACAACCTGTCTCACAAAGTTCAGACATGCATCTGATCAACAAACAAATATTTAGTGATTATTACATGCCAGGGACTAGAGGTATAAATACGACTAAGGCATGGCCTTGCAATTGTGGAGTTTACTTGCTAGTGGACAAACAGGCACATAAACAGATAATTACAGAACACAGCAGAAAATGCAATGATGGAAGTGCATACAAGGTGCTATGGGAACAGAGATGAAGGACACTAGAGTTCAACCCGGAAGTTTCAGATAGGGCTTCCTGGAGGAAAGGATGCCAAGGCTTAAAGAATTTCAAGCAGAAACTTAAGTGTCTTCTCTGGGATCCCAGGGCTTCCTTATTTGGTCCTTTTTAACCCTCCAGCCATTTCTCCATTCCTCCCAACATACCTTACCTCCCCACTCCTATTGGACCAGTCTCATAATTATGTCCTTGAAAATTCCAGTTTTGATCCTATCTCTAATTCCTCGTCTCATATGGCATTCTCTATCAGATATTCTCTGCCTGGTAAAGTGTGTTCTCCTCTCCTCCATGAAAACAGGCCCTACTTTGATGCAGTCATATACATTCCTATTACTTATGAAAGCATATCAAACAGTCATATTCAGATAGACTTTAATGTTATTTTTCCACACTTTGTAACTGTTTATTGTGTTTTTCTTATCACTCCAACAAAACTATAAGCACCTTAAGGAAAAAAGTAGTTCATAAGTTTATTTTGTTTCACAACACCTGGCAAAGGGTCAGCCAGAGCAAAGTACAAGATGTCAAAAATACTTACTGAATTAAATTGTTTCACCAATGCCTTTTCTGGTTTATCTGATGTTCAACAAATTCATTTTATGAAAGTTTAGAAGTTCAAATAACCAGAGGAGAGAACATTCTTACTTCTGTCAGTTAATTTACTAACTGAAAGTCAGTAGTATTATATGAGAAATAAACTAGCTTGGTAGAATTTGTGAATGTAAAGAAAATGTGAACCATGGAATAAATTACACATTTGGTTTATAAAGCAGCCTGTGAATAAGGTTCTTGTACTTGGTAAGCAGTAAAAAAAGCAGTATATTGTTGAGAGGGAGTGTATTTAGGGTAGAGTACAAGTTTGAATGGTCTTTTTTGTAAGGAAGTATTATATATACATATATATATCAGTCAAGTAAATGATGAGAATTATACATATATGTGAGTGCTGCACGCATGCACACACACACAGAGTGTCAATAAGATAACAGAAATAGCAGTTGGGAAAACAACCTTTTCATAGCGCTAATGATGGGCATTTTTAAACTCAGCACTTCCTTCTTATTTCTTTTTATTTCTTATCTGTTTCCCTCCCACTGTTATTTCTCACATTGTTCCTCTATGTAGTCTTTTCCACCTCACTCCCTCCTCTCTAACAAACAAACACTCCACACACTTTCTCATTCACACTCACACACACACACACACACACACACATACACACACGCACCTCAATTGTTTCCTACACTTTGTGTTCAAGTACGAAACCAGCTATCTCCAGAGGGTGTCTGATGGTGCTGCCATTAATACACTAGACTACTGAGTGGTTTTCAAACTTTTGCTCACGAACCCCTAAAAGAATTTTGAAAACAAAACAGAGAGACTCTGTGCCAGTTACCAATTTATTTATTGCCTCTCACCTCTAAATCCATCTTCCTTGCCTGCTCTGCTAAAATGGATCTGGGACCTTTAAATATTTTTTTCTTTGTCAGCTAACATGATATTAAACCTTGTCAGTAGAGGGCACAGGAGAAGGATTGCAGGAGAAAGAGGTTCTTCCTTCCTATTTTCAGTATGCTTTCTCAACAGGCTCCTGCAGAGCCCGTGGCTTTTCCAGCATCTGGCTCACGCAGTGCATGCAGATTCTCTATTTGCAGGCCCTTGCAACGTGGGCGGCTTCCCCAGCACCCAACTCCTTAGCATGCGCAGCCTCTCCAGCCCCCAGCCCTTTTCACTGCTTCTCAGGTGACAGGCTCCTGGCTTCTCTGGAGCGAGGTGCAGCCTTCAGGGTACAGGAGTGAGCAGCACCTGGTGGTCAGCAGCCTTCCCTGGCACTTCCCTCAGGTAGTTTTGTAGTGGAGCACTCCCAGGGAGACACCTCCCAGCAAAGAGCTTTCCCCAGCACCCCAGAGGGGAGGTTTCTAGCAAATTCCAGAAGGCAGATTTCCAGAAATTTACAACATCATGGCCCCAGTGACTCCTGTGCCATCAGCCCCAGAAAGCCTGGGCGGGGGGCGGGTTGCAGGGAAAGCTCTTCCTTGGGCTCTATCTCAGCCCTAGAGGCCATGATAGCTTCCTATATTTGCTATCTTTGTCTTCTTTAGAATTTCTATTTACTTCTTACTAGCCAATCCCTCATCACCATAATCCTCTGTCACACACAGTAATTCTCTACATTAAACTTTCCTGTTCAAATTACTGTGTGGTTTCTGTATCCATATTGGGTGCTGACTGATACACCCTTCCTCATACATTTTAAAGTGACAGCTAAAATTTCTTATCAAAAATTTAAATAATTGAAAAAAGATAAATTACCTGGTGTTCTGTATATAGACATGCTTAAAATATATTTCTGTCAAAATCTTAGAGTGACATATCTAGATCAGTTAATGAATGGGAGAAGTCCACCATATAACCTAATTTGCAAAGGCAGTCCTCACCGTCCTGTCTATCAAGTAAATCAGACTTATTTCCTGTACACACACACACACACACACACAAAGACTTTCATTTAAAATTTTTGAATAAATATGTTGATACATGTTTTCATGACACACATCTCACTTAAGACTGGTAGGAAATGGATAGACGGACAACAGATGGAGAGACAGATAAGCAGACAGCTGGCAGGCAGACTGAGCCTTTCCAAGATGAAATACTGTTTCAATACTTTTTTACCAGTTCAATATTTCTCAGTTTTTTTTTTTTTTTTGGCCTTGCTTTCATGGGTCTCTCCTTCAGAAGTAATGCCTTCCTGAACTGTCCTTTTGCTTGATGCCTTGAAGATTTTATCCTGTGACAACAAGTCATAGTAATATTTGGGATGGGTGGAAGGTATGATATCTTTTGTGAAGTGGGAGAAGGGCGACTATGACAGAGGAGATTGGAAGGAAGAGGTGGCTGACTACAGACTCTCTCAGACACAGACAGCAGTTTCAGGAAAGTGTATTGTATAGCGGTTGAGGACCAGAAAATTGCTTCCCTCAAAACTGTCCATGCCCTGTGGCCCCATGCCCTGTGGCCACCCAGGGCACAAGTTCTCCAGTACTAAGAAAGCAGCACCAGGACAAAGAATACTGTATTCTACAATTAAGGCCAAAGCAGGGATATTGTTCCCCCTAGAAATGACAAGAAACCAAGTATGGAGAAGCACACTTATTTTTTTAAATATAGAATAAAAAATATTAAACTATATTCCTTAAAAACTTAGAAAACAAAAGCTTTCCTTACAAGAATGCTAAAGTTTCCTTTAGAGTCAATATCACATCAAATATGAAATCCTGAACCCCAGCAGCACCTATGTTTGGATAAGGGTCTTGCTTTTACTATTTGTGACTCAAGATGTCACATGGGTTAAATCCTTCATTTACAGTGGTTCTGTTTCTTATTTAAAACAGTAAGTTTTCCTTAGATCCACTACTTTACTGAATCACATAATAGGGAAAGAAATGAAGAATCTTAAACAAAAAGCAAAGGAGATGTGGCCAATTTTTACCATTTGGGATATTAACAAGTTTAACATGGCTCAGCAACTATCTTAAGTGTTATATCAACTATTATGACACAAACTAAAGGTGTTGAAATATAAAGACGTGTGTTTTCTGAGAGGAAATGGGTGACAATTTGAAGGGCTGGTTTTTTTAACAGAAAGAATAAATACGTAAGAATTCAGAACAGATTCGCAACCAACGCTAATGTGCAATAAGGTTTATGCAAGTTAAGAAAGGTTTTAAACTTAAAAAAATTTTTTTTCAAGGAAACTACTGTTTCCTGTTATTTCTGGGAAATCTGTAAATGCTAGTGTTTTCAAAAGGAAACATTTGTGGAGAGTTGTTAAGTATGTTTTACTTGCTACACATATCAGATTCTTGTTTGTTCATTTCCCCTAAGAAGTCTGTAATTCTGTTTTAAATAAATGACACTTACTCTCAATTAAGGTTTCTTTCTTTTTATTCCCCCAAATCAGCATCCCTATGGGAAGTACAGGGCTTCTAGGATTTTCTCCACCTACATAAATAAATTTTTAGTAAAGAGCTTTCTTTCTTGATTAAGATCCATAATCTCCAGAATACACTGTCTGAATTAACTATTCTGTTGAAAAAGTCTATGTACTGGCCTGTTTTATAGTAAACTATTGGGATCTATAAAACAAAGATTCTGGATTAATGCAAAACTCAGAGTATGTAATTTACTTATATATGCATAAGTATCTATTATATTTCCCATTTTATTTTCAATACAGCTATTGCCCTTCATTGCAGAAGTATGAATAATCAACTTGGTGGATACTATTCAATCTGAAAGATGTACACAGAGAACTTCCATCATGGTCAAATAAATAAATTTAGGGCCATCACTTGATGACAGAAAAATCAATAAATACATAGACATTTCTACGTTCACCAAAATCTCTTTTATAGCTCTGCTAAGCACCATGGTTACTAAGATGAACAAGTTAACGTTAGGTATTTTAAAGATCCAAACAATGAGAAATCAGCCAGTCTACCAAACTGGTAGTTTATCATGAAAGTCAATAATTACTTTTGTTTTGGTGGTGGTAGGGAAATAGAAAAATTAGAAAAAAGAAAATTTAGTAATGGAAAGATTCTAATGTGAACAGACAATACCAAGTTTGTTGCCATCTGTGATTTTTCCATATCCATAGGTTTTTAACATACTTACTTGAACAATGGAGTTCCACAAACAACACATTTATATATTCCAGGATCTTTGTGATGTGTATATTCTCCTTCGAAGGCACTGATACACAATAAACAGAGCATAAAAAAATTTAATTAAACAAGTTAGCATTATTTCTTATAGAACTTATTTGCTTAAAATACATTTTTCTAAGAAAACTTTCAAGGGCTTTTTGTCCTAAAATGAGAACAGACCAAACATATGGAAATCTGAACATTACTAATACATTTCAAATCTGTATAATAAAATGTGCATATAACAACTCCAAACTAGTGTGGGTTAAATTTTTTAAAAAATCAGGCCATCTAGTTATGTAATGCTTAGAAAACTTTTTTCCTATTAAAAAAAAAAAAAAAGCCTGTAGTTCAGATTCACAGAAAAAAAACATTATTACATAAGATTTCTGCTACTCTACAGTGTCCAAGAGTATATACCAGAAAATGCAGAAGGGTCCAACACTTCCAGTGGAAGGAGTCTTATTTTTTGGTTTGAAAAGGAATATTGCAGCTTTAAGGGAATATTTTTCTAAGTTAACAATCTTAAAGGCTAGGAGGTCATTCAGCTAATACAAATCAGCTGTGCTAGCCCAACAAAAAGTCTGTGCTCTGCAGCTTGTTTTTATTATCCTTTCACCCTCTTTATGAGGTCCAATTTTTTTATAAACAGAATTTTTAAGAATGACCTAATCTCTAGTTGTTTGTGTGCATTAAATCATTTTGCTAGTCATGTACACAACAGGACGGGTAGGTGACTTGGACCAAGACCGAAGTCCATCGCTAACTCATCGTGCAGTAAAGGTGTACGTTGTCAGAGATTCAGCATTTGGTGAATTCAGTAAACAGTATATACTGTGACAGGAAGACAGTGTTGCCTATTAACAAAGACCCCACGTGTGGTAAAGAGCTCTTTCAGTTCATGAATGAAAACAAGAAGTTACATCATTAATAAATTTGGATCAGAGGTAAGTTACAGCCTTATGCCAAGCTCCATGGTATAAATTAGACAACAAAATGGTTGGACTTTGGCAAGTTACCTTTGAGCTGGAATCAGCTGAGAGAGACTTTATTCACTACAAACAGTCTTGGAAGTGAACAAACTCTTTTTTCAGGACGTAGGGCAAACTTCCAAGGACCAAAGCCATGTGAGGGCAGTTATTGAAAATTTTTGACATTCCAACCACAAATGAGCCAATAAATACTTTCTCCACATGTGCTTCAAAAAGAAATTGGAGTGGGGTAGAAAGGAACTAAATTATGCTACCTTCTTTTTGCAGCCAAAACGTCTATACTTACAATGGCCACCTTCAAATTTTCAGTATCCTGGCAAAGTGCCATGTCCCTCATGGTTTTGCTTACTCTGATGTCTTCCCAAAAAATGTACCTAAATCGCTATTACTTCCACACATTTTGTAGTAAACTAGAAACAGGCCCTTAACAAAAGCCTTGTGACTTTACAAAAGATAGAGTGTTCATTAAATGGGAGAAAGAATAAATAAAACTTAGTCTTAATCTAAGCAATACCATTTTCAACCTTTTCAAGGATACTAATTTGTAGACTTTAGCAAATAAGTATAGAATCCTTTAAATTAAGTGGCAAGGAAGAGGATTCAAAGGTGGGGCGGGGGGATAAGGAGGATGAAGAAAACTAGCTCTTGCTTAATGGCGTTTTCGTAAGCTCGCCTTACCTTTCGGTCCCTTTCTCCTGAGTGACATGGTACTGCTGGGGTGTCAGCCGCTTCCTCAGTTCCTGCTGGGAAAAGACCACCTTACAGCTCTTTTTATCCCTACATGACCCTGGAAAGAGAGAGGATGTGGGAGAAGGAGGACTTTTAGCTTGAATCCTAAGTAACTGCTTTGGCTGGCCATCACAGCACAGCTTCTGCAGTCACTTGTCAATGACCAGGTCAGTCCCTAACACACTAGACAAACTTACCTGAACTGCAGCTGCCTATTTCTCTCAGTTTAAAAAGAATGGGACTCAAGATTCAGGTGATTCCACTGGAGCACTGACAGTGTGCTATAGCCAAAGCTGCTGGCAGGCAACAGTAAAAACCCATTGAACATTCACAAGGTGGGAATACATCCTTTACGTCTCCCAGTACCTTGAATTTCTTTTTTTTTTCAAATGAATTCAAAAAGCATAACTCTATTTATAAGCATTTATGCTGTATATATAAGAGGATGGGCATATTATATTAAACAATAACTCTCCATTCGTTTATTAGAATAGCCCGAAACCTTCCTCATTCAATTTCCAACCTGGGTGATTTAAATACTATCCTATTTGTTTATTGAACCCTAAAGATGTATCTTTCCACAGCTAGGAATTCTCTGTGATTCTGTCAGAGGCTTCACTAGGTTCTGAAGAGTCCTTAAAAACAAATATCTCTTGCAAGACTGTATCTTACCACGCTTAAACGGGCAGCAAGAAACATTTAATAGACTGCAGGAGAAGGCATTTACACTAATGCAGATTCAAGAAGTTCCAAAGAAAGAGTGAGAAAAATAGGGAGGGAGGAAAGACAAAGAAAAGCAAAAGTGAATGTGATTTTATTTAGAGACCTACATTTTTCTTTTTATAAAATATACTTAGAAAGACTTCACTGGCTAAATATATTTGAATGGTAAAATAATTTTAATTAGATTCTAATAACAATGTTAGCTTTTACTTCAACTTATACAGACCGCAATAAAATGTCCAGACAATACCCGCTTATATGGGGTATTTTGTCTTACCTGAACAAATGACTGAAAAGAAATACAGTCGGCCCTCTGTATCCACAGATTCCACATCTATGGATTCAACCAAACACGATGGAAAATATTCCCCCCCCAAATTCCAGAAAGTTCCAAAAAGCAAACCTTGAATTTGCCATGCTAAGGCAACTATTTACATAGCATTTACATTGTGTTAGGTATTATAAGTAATCTAGAGATGATTTAAAGTATAAGGGAGGATGTGCATAGGTTATATGTAAATACTACGCCATTTTATATAAGGGCCCTGAGCATCCTCAGATTTTGGTATCTGCAGGGGGTCAGGAACCAATCCCCCATGAGTACCACGGGATGATCAATAACTCCAGACACGGCAACCCTTACTCACTGCAGTAAAATTGCTTTTCTTTGCTTTTCCATCACAGTGCGAAAGAGGCACGCAGATGTCACCACATGCAAAAATTTCCTACCATGTTACGAAATTACTGAAAGAAAGCTTGCTTAGTTCCCCAAATATTAAACTCAATTTGTTTTGAAACATAAAAGAAATATGATTTAGGAATAGAAATGCTTTCTACTTCTTTTACTTTTAAGGCACCTAATGTCATAGTATACGAGATCACTGAAATTAAAACAGGAGAAACTTAAGTAACCACTGACTCTGATTGTGGGATTGAAGCAGGATATCAGCTTCCAGAATCAGGGCCACCAAGATAGAGTGGTTGATTCTCTATGAGAAAATATGGAGGCAGCAAAAGAGCAAACCAGAGCCGAACAGCAAAACACACCTTTGAGTAGGCCTGTTGGTTGTCAAATAGCGCCTCTTCTGACCTTCCACAAAGGATGTTAGCCCTGCTCTGGCCTGAAAAGATCCACAGGAACAGCTGGCAAATCACACTAATGGCATGTTGGTCTCTCATCTCACTGAACCCCATATTACACTAGGCTTTATGCAAATACCTACTACTTAACACTTTTAATATTTTCTAAGAGATAGAAATGTTTCCCTGAGAAATGTTTGTCCTGTCAGAACAAGCCTCTCCACAAATTGAATGCAGAACTGGCTGTGATAGGTGAGTCTCTGCTCAATTTGCTATGGACATCTTAAAAAGTAACTTTTTGTTTTTATTGCTTTGTATGTTGAAAGGGTTGTATCTTTGTGGATTTTATCCCCCCAAATTCATTAATTGTAAATCTAACATGACAAAATAACTTGGTTAAAATTATTCTTTCCAAGGGCATAGATAATTAAAATCTATACAATTAGAATTAAACAATTCTGTCTAAAATATTTTTGTTAATATACGTTCATTCATACAAAAAGGCCAATTGTGTTCCCAAAGTTGAGAGAACTAAGCTACCCATCTGTATGTCATTTAGTACAAGAGAAGCAACTGCAGGTTTAAATTACATGGTATTGGATTGCAATTTCCTAACATTGGATGCTTTTCTGCTTTTTTACCTTGAGTCATTTACTAAGGAGTGTTCATAAAAAGTAGCTTAAAGCACAGATGCTTGCAAATCGTTTAGGCAAAGATGTTTCTCTCTTTTTCATTCTCCCTCTCTCAAAAATCTCTCTTTTCTGAAGAAAAAGAATAAAACTGTTGGTCAGTATTGACGAACCATGTCAAGGATTTGTACAAGGAAAAAAGGTAAAATTGAAAACATCTGATTGAAGTAAATAAGACAAACATAAAAGCTTCACTGGTGAATGAAGGGTATTGAAAAAACTTTATTTCATAGATTAGAAATTACTTTTGATCTAAACATTCTTAAAAACAGATTGTTTTCTACTATGAACCATCTCATTAGCTGTGCTACAGAGACCTCGTTTTAATGGCAAGCTTTGAAAGAGTGCTGCTGTACTCTTTTGTTAGTCTCCGTCTTATTTGTAAGGGGGATAAAGATTTCATTCCAGCTTTCTTTGTTTGTCTTTCAAGAACCACTAAAGCAGTATTCACACAAATTTTGTAGGAATGTGCCCTATGTCATAGCCTACAAATTATTTGGTTTTGGTGCACTTAAAGGTCATCTTCCAAATTAGCAAAATTTTCCTACATCCTGGCTTTTCAACCTTAAATATAAATATTGTTTCCTAACTGTAAGTGAGGTTTGTTCTTTAAGAAATGCTAGTGTTTATTTAAAGTTGTCAAACTTTGTACATTTTTATTCTTTGGTCATACTATGTTCTCAAAATAATTAGGCTTTTAAAGTGTACCTAATAGCAAAAGGAAGTATGTGTGGACTAGAAACAACCATTGTGATTTAATACTAAACAATGAAAAGTTAGTCAGATTTTAATAAATTTCTTGCCACATAGTTTAATAATAATACACTTCCTGGACAATTGAAAGCTGTACTATTACATTAGCTCTCCTAGCATCATAACCAAAAACTGGCATATATAAACACAGAAAGGCTTCACTTTTGTCTCTAATTTCCCTTCTCCCTATCAGACTCACTTTTCTAAAGTCATGTGGTGCCACTGTTAATTTCAAAGAAATCATTTCATTTTGAAATTCTAGAATAATTCATTGGATGGTTTCCCTTTACTATCTTCACTTAGGTACTGTAATTTTCTTATTACACAGGGTAATTTAACATTAGTATTATATGACATCTGTTCAATGACCCCTAAATTGGCTTAGAAGTACGTTAGGGAAAGATTTTTTCCTTTATTTAAATGGTTAATAGAGTACTTCGAAGCCACAAGTGAGCATATGTCTATACACACGCAACACAAAGCATATTTGAGAGGGTAATATTGCCACTTTGGTATCTAATCATAACACCATTCCATACAGAGTAACTTTGGTATATATCAGACCCACCTTGAACCCTATCCAAGGGCATTTATTTGCTAAAATATGCCCAAAGTCTCTTTTTATATCAAAGCTTGTTCCATATTGTTGCCTCAAAGCCAGTATTGTCTTGAATTAGAGTTCACTTTCTGCCTTGCCTGCTTCCTAGTCACGTGACCTTAGACAAATGGGTCTCTCTATGTGCTACCACCCTCAGAGGTCTGCTATAAGGATCATAGCAATTAGCACTTAACAAACACTGTCTAAACAAATGCAGTATTATATTATCATTTTGATTACAGTGAATTCTGAAGTTAAAACTGTATTTTAAAAGGTAACCAGATCAGGTATTTCAGTGTGCTGCAATATTTTATTGGTAATTATTTTTCCATAATAATTCCCTTAGAACAGTATTTTCCTCACAAGTTATCTTTAAAAATGATTAAAATGAGAATTGAAAGAAGAGAAGAAAATTAAAATTTGAGTGCCTACTACGTGTCAGGCACATTTCTAGGCACTTTCACGTAACTACATTTAATCCTCTCAATAATTCTAGGAGGTAAATGTCACACCCATTTTACAGATACAGAAACTGAGGCTCAGAGAGGTTATAACATAACTTACTAAGGACAAGCAGCAAATAGATATACTGACTCAAATCCCAGGCTATCTGACTGCAATGCCCATGGAAAAATTATGCTACAAATTTCTTCTTTCTTCTTAAATTATGCAATAACTTTCAGCTTGAAAACTATCACTAACAACTTAAGATAATAAGAGAGAAAAGTAATAATCACTACAGTACATCCAGAAAAGTAAAAACATTTGTCTATTAGCCAATGTCTGTATTCTCTGTGTTCATTCCTTCAGCATAGGGTCAGTGACAAGGTTCAAACGGGATTCTCACAAAGTCTATAAAACGTTGAAAGGCTTTTTAAAGTCCTGTTTAGAAGTAAATCAAATCTGTTAACTAAATCTTAGAGCACTTTTAAGTCATAAATCTTATATTTCAGTGCGAAAAATCAAAACAAAACAAAATCCAAAGATCCCATAACTTTAATTTTGGTCCTAGGATCAGAAAAAATGAAACTATTAAATATCTTCCCAAAATAAGAAGTGAATAAGAGATAAGACTATCTTGTTTTGCTTTGAATTAACTAGGTTAAAACAGTAAAGTTCATGTTGAAATATCTTGCTACTATATTTAAAAATGGTGTATTTTAATTTTCACTATAAATTATAATTTTCAGTTGGTTATTAGTCTGTCATACTGGG